CGGGGTTCTCCCCCCACCGCGACCGCCAGCCGGATGACGCCGCGGCCACCTTCAGGGCGGACGGCTCCGCCATGTACACCACAGCCTGGGTGGGTGGCTGCTGACTCATCGACTCTCGACAGGTTTTCGAGGTGGTGGCTGTTGGTGCAGATTTCCACCGCTCCAGAGACCGCAGCTCAAGCGAGGCCTTTGGCAACCGCACGCTCCGGCTCGGTGATCGTCGCTGGGGCTGTCCAGAGGCGGTGCTGTTGTTTGCTTGCTCAAACCCTGCGCGTGGCGCTCACCTGTGCCGGTCGCGACGCCCCCCTCTTCCCGCCGCCGTCTTGTGGTGTGTGCAGGTGGCCCTGACAGACGCTGAGCCAGGCAACAGCTGCCTCTACGTGGTGCCCAGGTGGGGCGCCCTGCGCAGGGGCCGAGTCATAGGGATCCCCGCCTCCCAGCTGCACGCCTTGGCACGTCAGGCGCGGCACACACGCCCCGGCAAAAGCACAGGGGGGGGGGCATGCTCGTGAAGCCCGTCAAAGCCTGCTGCCCACACGCGTCACGACCCCTTGTCCCATGCCTCATGCGCGCAACTGACCCCCCCTCCAATCCCCCCCGGTCCCCCCCACCCAAAGCTACGCTGACCCGGGCTACCGGGAGGGGGACCCGGAGGAGGAGGACGCACCCGACCCCCTCACGCGCGCACTGGACACAAAGGTGCGGCGGCGACACACACTCGCAGTCAACGGCTTGGTGGCGGCGGTCAAGATCATGCGCGCCTGAGCGCACCTGCCCTGGATCGCCACGCGTCCTCCCTGATTTGTGTCTACAGGCCCAGGCGGGGTTATCCTGCCCACCTCCACCAACCCTCCTCACATCCCCTTGCTCCCCGACTCACGCCTTCAGTGCTGCGGCCCCGACAAACCCCCTGCGCCCTCAGGAGTCGTACCAGCACATACGTGCGCTGCCCTGCCCTGCCGGGGCCGCCGTGCTGTTCACCCACCGCATCATCCATTGGGGCTCCAGGGGCCGCCCCGGCCACCCGACCCCGCGCATCTCGCTGTCATTTGGCTGCGCCGATGACGCCTACGAGGCGCCCTACTTTGACAGGTGAGGGCGGGGTGCATGGCTGTATGGCAGCCTGCAAGCCTGCGAGAGCGCGCGCGCGCGTGTCTGCGTGTCTGCGTGTGTGTCAGTGTGTGTCAATGTGTGTGTGTGTGTGTGTGTGTGTGTGTGTGTGTGTGTGTGTGCGTGCTCGCATGCGTGCATGTGTGCGCGTGTGTGTGTGTGTGTGTCCATGCGTGTGTGCATTTATTCATACATATGTTCAGGTTGTGGCGATGTTGAGTGAGTGTGTACGTCCATCTGCACGCGTGTGCGTGTGTGCGCTCCACCACCACCATGGCCTACGACACCAGTGCTGCAG